GGTGATGAGGGTTTGCACCAATGTGGTGGCAGTATCAGAGGAGAGAAGCAGACATATTTGAGAGCTGTTGTAAATGTGAAATTATAGGCCTTAGTAAGAGATTGGATATAAAGGGTAAAAAATACTGAGGCTCAAGTACAGCAATTAGATTTTGCACTTGAAGGGCTGGGAGAAAGGTGTTGCCCTCTACAGTAATAGAGAAATTAGGAGGGGTCGGGGTTAAGGGGAAAGATGATGAGCTCCATTTTGGACATACTGAGTTTAAGGTTTGAGGTGTCTGAAAAGTAGTTGGAGACGTGAAATTGGAGGTTAGCAGAGAGGTCAGGGCATGATAGGTAGATCTGAGAATCATCAGCATAAAGATGAAATTAAATCCATGGGGACTGATAAAAATCACCAAGTGAAGCTGTAGAGAGAGAGAAAAGAAGAGAGCCTAGGTTAGAAGGTTATTGGAATATTATGGGTAGAGGTCATGACATGAATGAGAATCCAGAAAAGGAGATTGAGGAGGAGATGTCTGATAGGTAGGAGGAGAACCAAGAGAGAGGGCAATGTCCTAAAAACCTAGAGAGAAAAGAGTATCAAGGAGAAGAGAGTGATCAACTATGTCAAAGGCTTCAGAGAGGTCAAGGAGAATAATGATAGAGAAAAGGCCACTGGATTTGGTAGTGTACAATTTTGGTGGAATGATGAGATCAAAAGCTAGATTATAAGGGTTTAAGAAGAGAGTGAGAAAAAGAAAGTGGAGGTACCTATTATAGATGTTCTTTTCAAGGAGTTTAGTCACAAAGAAGAAAAGAAATGAGGATGGAAGGATCAAGTGAGGATTTTTTTTCTTTGTTTAGGGGGACATGGGCATGTTCACAGGCAGTAGGGAAGGAGCCAGTAGACAGGGAAAGGTTGAAAATAAATTATGGAGTGGGAATGACAGAGTAGGTGATCTGTTGGAGGAGATGAGAAGGAATGGGATCACTTGAGTAAGTTGAGGAGTATACTTTGGTGAAGTCTACCTTTAACCGTACCTCAAATTACAATGCTTAGTTTGCACCAATATTTGATTAGTCATTACTTAGCAAACATATTTTATTGTCTTTGATTGTAGTAATGGAAATGAACAGTTAGGGTTCCCAAAAAGTGTGGGGTCAGTTGAGGCACAGGAAACAATCAATGCATATACAAGGTTGCAGATGCTACATCAGTGTTTCCATTAAGGCACCAGAGAAGAGTTTGTAGTACTGCAGTTATTTCTAGTTCCCAGTCAGCTCATAGGAAGGCCAGCCTACACAGGTCAATTTGTCATAGGGCATGATAATGTTTATCCTTTCAAATGGAACATATCAGAAACATAATGAGCTATAGCTATAAACATAATGAACTAAAAACAAACAATCCTGTTAGTTTATATTCAAATACTTTCAATTGTCATTAAATTCTGCATTATTACACCTATTGCCAAATTGCATTATTTCTACTTTCACAATGTTTCTCTTATCTCCTCTCTGCTCATACAGCAACCACTGATTCATGTCTTTATCACCTCTCATTTGGAGTATTACTATAAGCTTGTTTGGTCTCCCTGATTTAAGTCTCTCCCCACTCCAAAGCATTCTTCACTCAGTTGCCAAAATGATTTTCCTAAAGCACAACTGCCTTTCCCTCCCTCACCCCCACCAATCACTTGCAATTATGTTTAGGATGACACAGGCAGTCAGCAAGCGTTTATTAAGTATTTATTACATGCCAGAAACTATTAAGTATTAGGAGTAAAAAGAAAAGCAAAAAATAGCCCCTACTTTCAAGAAGTTCACAATTTAGTGGGTGAAATAACACTGAAACAACTATATGAACAAGATATATACAGGACAAATTGTGGATAATCTTTGAGAAGAGGCATTTACTTAAAGGAATAGTGGGAAAGCATTCTTGCAGAAGATGGGACTTTAGCTGAGATTGAGAGGAAACCAGGGAAGCTAGGAAGTAGAGATGATGGAGACAGAGTCCTAGGCATTGGAGATAACCAGTGAAAACACTCAGATTCAGGAAAGATGGAATGTCATGTGTGAGAGCAGCAAGGAGACCTTGTCACTGGACCAATGAGTACATGTAAGAATATTGGAAAGATAGAAAGGGGATACCTTTGTAAGGCTTTAAAAATTAGAGGAATTTATATTTGATCTTGGAGGTAATAAAAAGACACTGCAGTTTGTTGAATGGGGGTGGTTGGTGACATGGTTAGACCCATGCTTTAGGAAGATCTATTTAACTGTTGATGGAAGGGTGTACTAGAGTGGGTAAATTGTAATAATCTGTAATAATGAAGTAGAGCAGGATATTGCAATAAGCTAAGCATGGGGTGATGAAGGGTTGCACCAGAGAAATGACAGGACTTGATAAATGATTGAATGTGATGGGGTAAAAGAGAGAGATAGTGGATGAAACCTAGATTGTGATCCTGAGTGACTAGAGGTATGTTGGTATCCTCATCAGTAACAGGAAAGTTTCGGAGAAGAGGGGTCTTGAGGGGGAAAAGTAATTAGCCATTTTGGACATGTTGAATTTGAGATGTCTATCCGGTATATACTTTGGGTTGTTGAATAAGTGGTTGGAGATGTGAGACTGGAGGTCAGGAGAGAATTTAGAGCTGGACAAATTGATCTGAGAATTATCTGCATAGAGATGACAATTGAATCCATGGGTATTCTGATGAGATCATAAGCAAAATAGTATTCTCTAGATAGAGAAGATAATGGCCCAGCTGAGAATCTTGGAGGATACCTATAGGTATGACCTGGATAAATATACAACAAAAGTTATTGAGAAGGAGCAATATTTCTATTAGGAGGTGAACCAGGGAAAATCGGTGTCACAATAGTGTAGAGAGAAAAAAAATATCAGGAAGAGGGTGATTAGCAGTGGCAAAGCCTGCAGAGACATCAAGAAGGGTGAGGATTGAGAAAAGGCCCTAACATTTCTCAATTAAGAGATCACTGATACCTTTGGAAAGAACATTTTCAATTGAATGAGACTGGAAGCCAGATTGCAGTGTTAAGAAAAGAGAGAGAGGGAAAGAAATAGAGGCATCTATTAAAGAGGGCCTTCACAGCAGTCTTTTGTCTGGGTAAGAAGGGCTACCTCTTTGTGTGATAAAGAAGATAGTAGCAGAATAATATTAGTAACAAAAAATTAGGAGGAGGGGAGAAGAGACAATGGCCTTAATTTTTTTCACAAAACTTGAGGCAAAGTTCTTAGCTGAGAGGATGGAGTGAAGGGCAGCTGTGGGTAGTATGAGGAGGAATGAAAAGGTTTGGAAGAGCTGCTGTGGAGAGTAGGATAGGGAATTGATTAGGGAGATGTAAAAGATTTGTCCTGCTTTAGTGAAATTACAAACAACAAACAAATAAATTACAAACATAGTGAAGCGCACACATATAATCTATCTATCCACAAAAAATCCTGGTTGAGATTTCATATGTACATGTGTATATAGCACATGCATATATATGTACATGTGTACAATACACATATGTGTATATATACAAATAGGGTTCCCCAAAAGTCTTAGTGGAATTTTAAGGTTTAAACGCTTAAACCCTGTTTGTATATACCTATATATGTACAGATGTATATGTATTATACACATTAGAACACCCTGTATACACACATGTACACACACCCTATATACACACACTCATATACTCCCATACACACACTCACATACAGATATACTCTCTATATAGACATGCACACACACCCTTAATACACATACCCTTTACATACACACCCTGCACACACACACACACGTACATGTACACCAATGCCCTGTATATACACATGCATACACACTCTGTACACACCTACCCATCCATCCATACACACATACCCTTTACACACACACCCTGCACACACACACACACACACACACACACATACATACACCCACATACACGTTCTCATACGCCAACGCCATGTATACACACATGCACATATACTCTGTATACACCCACCAATCCATCCATACACACATACTCTGTATACACACACACACACACACACACACACACACATACACACACACTCATGCATCCCCCATACACATACTCATACATACACAGATCCTATATAGATACATGCACACATTCCTTGTGCACACACATGCATTCATACATATCCACATACCCTGTATGCACACACACTCGTATGCCCCCCACACCTTGTATATACACATGCACACACACCCTGTATACACACACACACACACACACACACTCTCATATATGCACATATAAAGTACTCTGACATTGAAAGCTCTTCACAAGTTGGCCCTTTTCTACCTTTCTAGTCTTCTTGCATTTATCCTCCTTCACACAGTCTCTAATCCAGCCACCTCAGGTTTTGCTAACATGCAATAGCCTTTCTGTACCTTTCTCAGTACCTGTGCATTGCTTGCACTCCTCTGTCCCACCTATACCTCTCCATGATTTCCTTCAGGTTTCAATTTAAGTCCCACCTTCTGTAGGAGGTCTTTTCTGTGTCCTCCCCACCAAGATGCTAGGACTTTCCCCTGTGAGATTAAGTTCCATCTCTTCTTTATATGTGTATCTAGTCATTTGCATGTCTCCTCCAATAGAATGTGAGCTCCTTGAGGTCAGGGACTGTGTTTTCACCTTTCTTTTTATCTCCGGTGGTTAGCACAGCATGTAGAACATAATAAGCACTTAATTAATTTTTGTTGGTTAATTATATGTATATTTCTTAAGTTTCAATGTATTTTTCTTAAATTTTAATTTGAATTACATTTAATCTCCAAATAGTTTTCTTGTCCTGAGTCAAGCAATTCTCATGGATTTTAAATTTAGCAGCTTTTTGATGACAAAATTTTTATATTCACCCCCTCCACAAGTCACTATGAACATGAATATAACATGTCTTTTATATTATCCTTTTCTTTAAGGAAAATTATAATTTAATCTAATATACTGTATATTTACATTTTTTTTCAGGCAAATCTCGCTCCCCCATCATCTACAATGGCTGTGAGTCAATTGGTATGTACTGTATTATATTTCTAAATTACAGGGTGACATCAATGAAAAATGTTGATCTTGTAGAGCATTTTTATTGGAAGGAAAATGAAACAGGAACAAATATAATATATTTCAATTCTTAAGATCCCTTGAATAGGTAAATAAAAATTTTGACAGAAATAGAAAAGAGGAGATTTTTTTTCTGTCACTTTGTATTTTTATATTTCTCATTCATGTGATGGTTAGCTTATTCCAAACAAGCGCATATATTGCATTTACATTACTGGTTGAAAGTCTTACTGTCTCTGAATCCCTGTGAAATAGTATGTGCTGACACTTTTGTAGAAACATTTGATTTATAAAGCACTTTACATACATGATCTCATTTGATCCTCCCAATTTGACCCTCCCAATGAGGTAAGTGACACAGATATTATTATTATTGTTATTATTATTCTGATTTTATAGATAAGGTGTCTGACACTGAAAATGTTAATTGCTTTGCCCAGGATCACATAACTATATGGATTTGAGGCAGCATGCTAACTCAGGCCTTCACATTATCTACAGTACCTTTGCATTCAAGTTGACAAAGCAGTTGGTTGATTCAGCCAACTCACTGAAAAATCAAACTTGCCTTATTTGGGCCATCCTATAGCTAAAGCAACTGGTTATATCTTTGTGTCCCTCTTCTCCCATCTCCAGAATAAAAATTCTTTGAGGGTAGGGACTGGTAATCTTTTATTTTTGTATTCTAAGTACCTAGGCTAGTGCCACATAGCAGGTACATAAAGGATATTGGTGAACTAAATTGTTAAAATTTTCAGTTGGTTCTTTTAGGATTACATGGTTTGTAAGCAGCCGGGCTAATACCTATATTAAGCCCACACCAGTGAAATAGTTGGGCATGAAAAGGAAAGTTATATGATTGAATATTTGAAAACCATAAACATTTATGCAAAACAATTTTTCTCATAGGTGTCAACAGGTTTGTAATGGAATGGAAGGTAGAATATGGTCATAAGAAGAACACTCCATTGCAATTCAGGAGATTTTTGCACTCATCCTTGTTTTGCTGCTAACTAGTTGAGTGACCTTGGGCCAGATACTTCCTCTCCAGGATCCTCAGTTTCTTTATTTGTAAAATGAGGGGGTTGGACTAAATGATCTCTAAAGGTCCTTCTGGCTCTTATATTCAGTGAATACTAACATTCTTATTGAGGGAGTTACCATGGAAACAAATAAACCTTCAAATAACATGCTGGAACTGCATGGTTTTATAGGTAAAGGAGAAAAAAAATCACTTTTAGCATGCTGACTTCCTTAGATGTAGAAATTTTATTTTTTGCTGTAGTCATGTTGCAAATGTTTATTAGATTAATGGATATCACCTCTGCTGCTTACCACCTGTATGATTTTGGCCAATAACTTTACTTTTCTAGGCCTCAATTTTTTCATCTGTAAGATAATGTTAGAACTAAATCATCTTTAAAGTCACTTCCAGATTTAAGTGATCTCTAGTTCCTCAGTTCAGGTGATCTGTAAATGTCTCCAGAATGTTACAAAGTCTTCCTCTTGCCTTCTTCAATTTCTTGCAGGGGTAACCTGAAGGACTTTTTTTTTTTTTGCCACTGATGGCAAGCTGTTTTTGTCCATCTCCAAAATAAGAGAAGAGAGAAGTTTAAGCTGTATGAAGAAAATATCGAGAATATGTTAGACATTCACAAACATTCCCTAACCCTAAAGCTGAAGGACTGGAGAATCCTGATGTGCAGTTCTCCATAACCATAGAACATTCTTTAATTTTTTGACAGTAAATGCTTGTATTAATCATAGTGTATGTGAGACAGCATGCTGTAATGGATAGAGAACTGACCTCTAAGACAGGAAATCCTAGTTTAAGTGTTACCTCTGATGGATAGTGCCTGTATGATCTTGGGAAAATTGCTTTAACCTCTAAGTGCTCTAAGCAACCCCTAAGTATAATTTTTAGAGAAGATGCCAACCTGTATTGGTAAAGAGAGTTTCGTTGCTTGGGAATCCATCAACTGGATGAGATCATAGGTTTAGTGCCTATCTTGTATCCAAGTAATAACAACAATCTCTCTCTCTCTCTCTCTCTCTCTCTCTCTCTCTCTCTCTCTCTCTCTCTCCCTCCCTCCCTCTCTCTCTCTCTCTCTCTCTCTCTCTCTCTCTCTCTCTCTCTCCTAAATATACATATGTATATAAATTAGATATAATCTATTTAGTCAAGAGAGAGGTTGTTAGTATACTGGGATGTGATATAGGTATGTGTATATATATATATATATATATATATATATCTATATATATCTATATATCTCACATAGATATCACTGAAGGGCTTGCAAAGCATATATATATCTACACACATATACACACACACATACATACACATATACATACACATAAACATACACACACATATGGATTTACAAAGAACTTTATATTCTCTCATTGGAGGTCACCTGATGGTATAACCCATTGTGTTAATAGTAACCAGATCTCATTATAGAATTTCAAAGAAAGGTTTAAAATAAGCCATTGAATAATGTAGGCCTTGAACAAAATTAACTTGTAGAATATATGGCTTCAGTATTGTTGCTTGATTAAAACAATGGGAAGTTTGACATTCTCTGGGGGAAGAACTATATGAAACGTGACTAAGGCTTTTACTTCATATTCAAGAAAATTTCACTACATGCTAACTACTCCCCCAAAGCAAGCATTCCTTGACTGGGGTTTAAAATTAAATTTTGATCTCATACCCCTCCCATGGAATGAAGAAAGGTTTGTGAAAGAAGGAATTACTAAAAGAGCTCATCTCAGAAACAAACATCTCTTGGCTTCATCGTGCTAGGTCCATTTTCTTGTGTGCTTTGAGCATGATTTTGGCAGCTTCACAGTAGAAGGGAACTAGGTCATACTACACATGATCATATGAGAGAGAAATATTAGAGTAGTATGTAACAGTGGCTTCCTTCTTTGTATGGGAAATTATTCCCCACCCCTCTACCCACGTCGCTGCTCAATGTCATGTTAAAGTCAGATATGCTTTTGGTTTTTTACCAGTTTTTTTTTCCTAATAAAGCTGCTATAATATTTTATTATCATTTACTTTGTGGGTCATTCTCTTTGTTTTTTTAAAATTTTTTAAAAATTTTTTTAATATAAATTTATTTATTTTTAGTTTTCAACATTCACTTCCACAAGCTTTTGAGTTCCAAATTTTCACCCCATCTCCCCCCTCCCCCACCTCAAGATGGCATGCATTCTGAATATCCCTTCCCCTAGTCTGTCCTTTCTCCTATCTCTCTCCCCTTCTCTTATCCCCTTCCCCTTCTATTTTCCTGTAGGGCAGGATGGACTTCTGTACCCCATTTCTTGTATTTCTTATTTCCCAGTAGCATGTGAAAACTTTTTTTTAAACATATGTTTTTAAAACTTTAGGTTTCAAATTTTCTCTCTTCCTCCCTCCCCACCCCACCCTCATTGAAAAGGCAAGCAACTCAATATAGGTTGTACATGTACAGTTATGCAAAACATGTCCCTAGTAGACATGTTGTGAAAAACTAACTCTATTTCCCTTAATCCTATTCTGCCCACCCATTTATTCTAGTCTTTCTTTTGACCCTGTCCCTCCTCAGAAGTATTTTCTTCTGATTATCCCCTTTCCCAATCTGCCCTCCTCTCTGTCATCCCCTTGCTCTCTTGTCCCCTTCTCCCCCTATTTTCCTGTAGGATAAGACAGATTTCCATACCCAATTGAATTTGTATGTTATTCCCTCCTTAAGCCAAATCCTATGAGCATAAGATTCACTCATTCCGTCTCACCTTCCCCTGTTTCTCCTTCACTGTAAGAGACTTTTCTTTTCTGTTTTTTTTTGTGAGACAATTTACCTGATTCTACCTCTCCCTTTCTTCTTCTCCGAGTATAATCCTCTCTCATCCCTTAATTTTATTCTTCAGATATGACCCCTTAATCTTCAACTCACCCTGTGCCCTCTATCTATCTATTTTCTTCAGTATATTTTTGGGTCTCCTTTAGCAAGCTATTGACTTGTTTTTCATGATTTTCTTGCATCACCTCAGTTTTTCCTCTACTTCCCTTACTTGCTTCTCAAGATCCCATCTGAGCTCTTCCAAGGCCTGGGACTGATTCATATTTTTCTTGGAGGCTTTGGATGGAGGAGCTTTGACTTTGTTGTCTTCTTCTGGTTGTATATTTTGATCTTCTTTTTCACCAAAATACGATAATATAGTCTGACTCTTTTTGCGCTGCTTGCTCATGATCCCGGCCAATTACTTGAGTTTTAAACTCTTTGTTAAGGTATGAATCTGCTTCCAATGTGGAGAATGTACTGTCCCAAGCTTTGGGGGTTTGTACAGCTGTTTTCAGAGATACTTGTAGGGACCTGTAAATTTTCAATTCTTCCAAGGTGGTATGATAAGGGGTGAGGTGTTTACTCCTTTCCTGGCCTGTGACCACAAATACTCCTTTCTGTCCTGTAACTGTGAGGAGGGTCTTCTCTCCACAGCCACTACAAGCTCTACCACAGCAGCGCTCCTTCTCACTCTAGCACTGCCACCCAGAACTCTGACCCAGATCCAAACATGGGCAAAGCAATAGATCCCTGCAATCCCTCTCTGATCAGCCACTGGATTTCCCCTCAGTCTGTGGGCTGGAAGCTTGGGAAGCAGCTCCCCCCCCCCCCCCCCCGCCACACTCTTGGGAATGGATCTGAGACCCCACCTTCCTTTCTCAGCACCAACAGAAACAGACTTTTCCTACTGACCTCCTAAGTTGTCTTTGGCATTGGTGGATTGAGGAGTCTGGAAACCTCCACAGCTGCCTGAGATTCAGTCCTCTGAGGCCTGCTCCAGATTTGCTAAGGCCTGCACGCCCACGGTGCTGCGTTGTACTCCCAGCCCAGTGCGATATACCTTTCTGATCAATTATCCAGGTTGTCTTGGGCTGGAAATTTGTTTCGCTCTGTCTT